AAGAAATTGTAAGCAAGCTTTCCATATGCGAAAATCACAAGCTCCTTTAACCCCAGAAATCCATCTTTAATTTATAAAACATTTTAAAAGATGGATCTTATTTGAATTTTATAAAAGTGTACAAAGCATATAAAAGCATATGGTTATAAAGCAAATAAAATGTATTTTACTGATAACAAACTAAATGCAATGAATTTTTCTTTTTACGACATTATATAGCAATATTAGTGGCTTCATATAATTATATTCCTTCAACGTACGTGACCTAGAAGACTTTTTAGTGAAAAGAATGTCAAAAAGAAATCTGACATGAAGTTTTACAATGTCTGCATATCTAATCTCGCTAAGTACATGTATTGGCTCTACACTGTAGGGTACACTCATGTTTGGACAATACTAATCTCCTGTTCACACAAACGCAGATTTGAGCCCTTCATTCAATACCTAACAGTCGATATAAAATGGAAATAAACACTACATTGAAAATGACCTTTATGAGGAACCTACGATCTAAATAATACGTCTAGTTGTGCTCATCTAGTTCTACATGCCTTAAAGTGCACTATTTCGAGAGTTCATAGTTAGGAAATCGGTTTAAATACTTTTAATTATCATACCACTCCAGTTTTTAGATTCACAAATTTCAAAATAGTCGTTTGATCAGTTGTCAGTAACAATGACCTGCAGCCACTTGGTTAGTTTCAAAAATTCTGACTTTAGTTTGACAGTAATTACCTGCAGACCCAATAGTACTTGGTAATAAACTCCTAGGTGTAAAGATGGAGTACTGTCAAGGACTCTGAGAATCAACTCATGAGCCAAGGCTTATGGTTACATAGGGATGTTGTATGCATCCTATGCTTAGCACACATCCATAATAACCAACACCATTTTCGATTTGGTGTCCAATTTTACAATAAGGTAACAATGTGAAAAAGTTCAAATTAAACTGATAGTGACTTTAGGAAACTGATAGTAATGAGTATGTAATATATCAAGGTTTAGTTGATGAAAAAGATGGTTTTGAAAGTTATTAAAAATAAATATTTAAAAAGACAAAAAGGTAGTTAGAGTTTTAAATTGAGCTGTTAATTATGAGTCATGAGAACCGAAAGAGGTAACCGATTTATTGTTTGATCCATGATAAGACTGGTTGACTGGATTAACATATTGTAAGAAAATTTTGTCTCACATTCCGATGGGAGATGAGGTTAGAATAGTTGGATCCGTATCCAGATGAAGTGAAATTTTCCCCGTGTTAGTTATGTTTAAATAACTGAAAAAGTAACAATTAGAGTAAAATAGATACATACCCAAAACGTACTTCAGATCCTCTACCATAATCATTTAAAGATTCAGTAAATTCAGACAGATGAAAGTTAGGTGTCTCCAGGCTTTTTACGAGTAATGATGAAACTAAGGATGGTTTACCGATGGGCGTTAGATTCAATGAATAGTCTAGAACCAAACATTCCACTTTAAACTTTGAAAAGTACATTTCGGTGGTCAAATCTTGAGGTTTGTTAATCCTTCCATCCCTGTTATTGCTGTTTTTTGTAACACAGGCGTATGCCCAGAACTGTATACAATTGGTGATATCCAAACTTAAGGGCTTCAGAGTATAATCATTCCAAATAGCTTGAATGGCACAATCTATAGACTGGCTTTCTGCACTGCTGGAAATATCGTATTTAGCAAGCTAATTTTTAGAAAATCGTGAATTTACAATCCAAATGGAAAATAATACCTTAAAAGGTATCAAAAACTCATCAGGGATGTTTGATTGACAATACTGTTTGTTCAGTTCAATTCTGTTCACAATAACATTCAAGCTGGAAACTCCAACAAATGAGTATCTTCCATAAAGATATGTTTTTAGGCTATTCTGCCGGCACTGCGTGATCATTCTGTATGCTAACTTGCAAACTTTCTTAGGAATCATGCATTTCACACTACTGTAAAAAGCTCATCTATTAAGGAAAACGTCTTACCATTGTGATGATACTGATCCAAAAGAAAACATTGTGTCATTGTCTTGCCCTTTATTGACATGACTGGCCATTAAAATGTGTATAGCTACAAAAGTAAAAGTTCAGATCCTGGAATATTCGAATTAACTACATATAAAATGATTGTAGACATAATAACTAAACCAAAACTTGATTTTAAAAAGGCTTTTATAATAATCTAATAAAGCGGATTATGGGCATTATCATCAAGTTTATATATCTTGACGAAAAACGAGTAACTGCACTTTCCTCTCCCTCTGTTTACATTTGCGCTAATGCAGAATAATTCATATCAACGTTCTACTGTATACAGTAGCATATATCTATCTTACTTGTAGTTGAGACATTTACAGGAGTAGCCACCATCTAAAGCATCACTAGAAGTCTAAATACTGTTTAAAAAAAGCTGAAAATAGAACACCGTCTGTATAACTTAGTGGTCAATAGTCGAGAATCTTCGCGAAGTCTGACAGTATCAGCAACTGCAGATGGAGTATTTGAAGAAGAAACACATAGATAATTAAGAGATAAACACGAAACAGCTGACGCAATAACAGTATTCGTAGAGACCAAAAAATATACAAAATCAAACAAAAACATCGGAGTGAGGTTTATTAATTGTATTTTTAGTTGAAAGCAAGTACGATAAATGAACTACAATAGATAGCAAAAAGATGAGAAGAGCAGACAATATAAATATAGGAAATAAAGCGGAGCAATAATTAAATGAAGATTTGTTTCTTTATTTTCCTAGTGGAAATAAAAAGCTCATTACATCAATAACAGTTTTCATACGAGACAGGTAAAAAGAAGCCCCTATTTAAGAATCCTTTATATACACAACGCATAAGAGGTACACTTAGTTACACATAACACAATCAGGCCAGTAAGAGATCCCATGAACAGCCGGCTAATATTCATCAGGACACTAAGCCACTTCTGAGCCGCAACTCCAACCTTCGCGCTGATAACCTTCAAAAAGTAGTCACAACATGCTTTGATTGGAAACAAACTCAACTCCTGTTCGTAATTTCGGCAATCTAATTAGTGACCAATCAAAACGAAGCAGGCATTATCATTTCCGCCACCTCTGTAAGCAGTGCACATCAATCTGACTCGTTCTGTGCTGTTATGCCGGCTTTTTCGTGTAGCTGCGAAATTCAGTCCCTTAGTGTGTTGAATAAATAGTGTAGGTGGTTATACAACTAAGACGAACGTTCAGACTGATTTTTTAGGAACTTTGGAGGTGGTGTTAGTACGGTGTTCCGTAAATAGCTACATAGTCACTTGATACTGACGACTAAACAGTTTGCGAGAAGTTCGGCGAGGTCTCACTCCTGTTCCACTCTAATCAAATATATAGTATTGCTTTAGTAAACAAATTGAAATTATCAGCAATAATATTTCATCAGGTTTCTCTTACTGTTCTTGAGTCACTTAGAAAAAAATAAATGAGTACACCTACATATGTGCCTAACATAAGTAAATAAATTCTTTACATAAAATGTCTTCAAGCAAAGGAGAATACATACAACTGCAATTCACTAACAATTCCGCCTGTAGCACTTCTAGAGTTACTGCCGGTCCTAAGCACGGGTAGAGGAGGAGGTTTGGGCATGGGGTCGGCAGCCCCATCCCGTAGGAAACAACCTTACTAAAAAAACGCCAACCATATTAAACAAATTAGACCATTTAAACTTTGTCCTGGGAGTTGAAGAAAGGATTGTGACGCCTCATGGTGAAAGCTCAGATTCTTCGGAAGTCGTGAGGCTGATGCCCTTTCTAACTATTATAGATACATGGAATATCCGGATAATGTGGGATACTAGAAGGATCAGTCAAATAACTATGGAAATTAAGAGACATAACTTGGCGGTGCTCAGAATCAGTGAAACCCATTGGACCCAAGCTGGACAGCAAAGCATAGATTCAGGAAAGCTATTGCTGTACTCCAGTCATGAAGAGGAAAATTCTCCACACACTCAGGGAATTGTTCTGATGCTGTCCAAAGAGGCACGAAATGAACTTATTGGGTGGGAATCTCATGGATCCAGGATCATCAAAGTATCCTTCAAAGCAAAGAAGGGAATCACAATGAATGTTATCCAATGTTATGCACCCACCAGTGATAGTAATGACAACGATAAAGATCAGTCCTACGAGAGGCTGCAATCGATCATAGCGAAGTGTCCAGAAAAGGACGTGACCATCCTGATGACAGATCTAAACTCCAAAGTCAGGATGGACAACACCGGCTATGAAGATATCATGGGACGACATGGACTAGGAGAAAGAAACAAAAATGGGGAGAGATTCGCAAATATATGCGCGTCCAACAAAATGGTTATAGGCGGCACAATATTCCCCCACAAACACATACGCAGAGCTACATGGGTCTCACTGGACCACATTACAGAGAATCTGATCGATCATATTCGCATCACTAAAAGTTCACAAGATCAATGAAGGACGTGCGAACCAGGAAAGGAGCTGATATAGCTTCAGATCACCATCTGGTGGTTGCCGAAATGAAGCTGAGGCTAGAGAAGCAATGGACATCTGGAGAAATAGCACTACAAAGTTTAATACAACCTTCCTTCAAAATACTGACAAACTCAACGAATTCAATGTAGCTTTCATCAACGGGTTCCAAGCCTTGCAGAGTCCTTTGAAAGGAGAAACTACTGTGAAGGACAAATGCAAAGGAATCAAAAAAGCACTAACTTCAACGTCTCGGGAGGTTCTGGGCCACAAGAAGCATCATCGTAAGGAATGGGTCCCCATCGAAGCCTTGGACAAGTTTTATGAAAGAAAAGATATGACAGCAACTAACAACAGTCAAACGAGAACAGAGAAAGTCAAGACACAAGCTGAATACACAGAAGCAAACGAGCGAGTGAAGAAGAGCGTCAGAATTGACAAGGAGAAATACATGGAAGAGCTAGAAACTACACCAGAATAAGCTTCAACAGAAGGAAATATCAGACAAGTTTATGATGCAACGAAGAAACTAGCAGGAAAATATTGTAAACCAGAGAAACCGGTTAAGGACAAAGAATGCAAACCAACCACCGAGACCAAAAGCAGATGGGTAGAACACTTTGAGGAACTCTTGAATAGACCAGTCCCAGTGAATTTACCATGAATCAAAACAGCATACAAATATATTCCCAAAGACAAGAGTCCAACAACGATCAAAGGAATCAGAATGGACATCAGACAAATGAAGAGTGGGAAAGAAGTAGGACCTGACAGCATACCAACTGAAGCACTAAAGTCAGACAAAGAAGCAACTGCCAGCATGCTCTACACTCTGTTCAGGAAGATTTGGGAGGAAGAACATGTGCCGACGGACTGGAGAGAAGGACACTTCATCAAGATACCAAAAAGAAGAGATCTGAGTAAATGTGAGAACTACAGAGGAATCACACTGCTATCGGTACCAGAGAAAGATTTCAACAGTGTTGCTGAACCGGATAAAAGACTCAGTAGACGCCCAGCTTCGAGATCAACAGACCGGATTCTGTCAGGATCGGTCATGTACAGACCAAACCGCGACACTACGGATTATCGTTGGATAATCCAATTGAATAAAACTCGTCACCATACATCAACTTCCTTGATTATGAGAAACCGGTTGACAGTGTGGATAGGAGAACCTTATGAAACCTTCTTCGACACTGTAGTGTACCTGAGAAGATCGTCAACATCATTCGGAGTTCATACAACCGACTACACTACAAAGTGATGCATGGAGGGGAGCTGACAGACGCATTCCAAATGAGGACCGGAGTCAGAAAAGACTGCTTACCTTTTATTGGCCCGAGATCTGACTCCACTTAGACCGTATGATTTATTGTTATTGAAATATACATTCCGCCAAATCCTAGTGTAAAATTATCGACTTAACTCGCGTTAGTGAATAATGGAATTGAATAAGTCAAATACGAGAAGAGAGAGCAGCGAAAGGAAATCGCTCGCAGTGGAGAAGCACGTAAGCCAACCCAATATAACCAAGCGTGAATTAATATTTATAGCCGAACAAAATGAGTTATAGGCATCTAATGGACAGGATAAGAAGTGCACACATATACTCACATAAACAACCAAGGTTGATAAGCTAATAATTAACAAGGTCAAAACGTGACTCGAGAAGGGTGAATAGATTGGCCTGTCCGGAAGCTAGAATAGGCTATGTGGGCTTGACGTAGCATTACATAGCCTACTTGTACAAAATAGCACATTTAAATGAAAAAACGTCTGTTTTTCAAAATAACACCGAAGGGGTATGTAGTTAACATTATTAGCAAGTAGCGAAGAGATCGTACTATAGAAAACCTGTAAGCATTGGACGGCCGTTTTGTCCTATTGTGAGACTCCTCAGCAGTGCGCATCCACGACCTCACCCCCTGCGAGATTCGAACCCAGGACCTAGCGGTTTCGCGAGTAAGCACTTAACCCCTAGACCACTGAGCCGGCATCCAACGGTGTTAATGTCTAACTTTGACCAATCCACGAAGTTGCGCGGCCGTACCCCATTGTCTTCAGTGAGTTGATATCACATAACAGACCTAGTTGAACTCCACGGGTAACGGCTTCTCACTAGAACTCCAGGAGTGTCTCTTGAAGTCGATCACTAGTGAGCAGATGATTGTTATCAAAAGGGGTTTTGTGGAGATTTTAGGACTTTCGCTGGTTGAAATCATGAGTCAATTGAAGCGAGACAAACATGGAAAACCTGGAAGCACCGCACGGTCGTCTCGTCCTAGTATAAAACTCATTCGCCCACTAGGGACTGACTTCAAGAGACACTCCTGGAGTTCTAGTGAGAAGCCGTTACCCGTGGAGTTCAACTAGGTCTGTTATGTGATATCAACTCACTGAAGACAATGGGGTACGGCCGCGCAACTTCGTGGATTAGTCGAAGTTAGACATTAACACCGTTGGATGCCGGCTCAGTGGTCTAGGGGTTAAGTGCTTACTCGCCAAACCACTAGGTCCCGGGTTCGAACCTCGCAGGGGGCAAGGTCGTGGATGCGCACTGCTGGAGTCCCACCATAAGACAAAACGGTCGTACAGTGCTTCCAGGTTTTCCATGTCGGTCTAGCTTCAATTGACTCATGATTTCAACCAGTGAAATTTCTAAAATCTCCACAAAACTCCTTCTGATAAATCGTACTATACTTGATAAAGTACAGTGAAACGAGAGGGGTGAGTGTATTGTACGAAGGTGTAACACTTATGTAAAGATGTGCGTGATTATCGTCAAGATGCGGACAAAATGGAAGTGTTAGGATGCAATTATGAGCAAATTAGTAAGCGTATAAAAAGATTAACGTGCATTTATGTTGTAACTGCCTGGACGATAAAATGACTTTCACATGAACGATTTAAAATACGGTGAAAACAGTAATAAATTGTTTATTGATATGACTGTAATAAATCGTGGAAATAAGTAGAGTAGAATATAACAAATTGGTCTTTGATGCCAACGGGATATAAAAATAAAGAATAGATGAGTATGAACAGGTAAATGGCGTCGATTAAAGGTCATTGGTTCGGTATCTATATGGCATTGAGTTTACATGGGATAAGCATAATCCAACCGTAAGATGATAGCTGCATTGATAGATGATATTCGTCGATGCACTGCAATTGATAATAATCATAAAATGCGAAGTCAGTGTATGTTATCGTTTGAGTTATAACCAGATGCACCGAGTAATCATTGAATATGTATTAGTAGAATAACCAGAGGAACAGAATGATGACTACGGAGACGAGATATGCGGAATCGTATTCTTTTTGGATATGTGCGCGAGCTCGTTCATTAGGAAACCGCACTAAGGTATGATAAGAATTCCAATACATATGATTATCGATGACGGTGATTGAGACTGAATTAAGTGTGACGAACAAGAGTGCATCTTTGAGAAACCAGCTCTAATTTCTATATTCTGGTATATAGTGTGATGGGAATAGAATATTAATTGCCGTAACCAAATAAAATTTGTGGGTAATTAGTGATACAGTATACAGTTATACATGTGAACGAATAGATAAGATAAACATGATCGTTGCTATCCGGCTAATAATGCTGCGTCGAATACCTGATTTATGTATAGACGTTAGAGCACGGATCACCGATTCAACAAAAACTGGCTGAAATTCGGTTCAGATTGTCGTTAAAAAAGTAGAAAACGACGATTGCTGCGTACAAGTGAGATAAATGAATATTAGTTGTATATCTAGAACATAAGTTTCTACCACCGGAAGTATGACTCCAAACTTATGTCTATGATAGAGTTGCTAACCGTTGCCAGCGTTAGGGTAGTTGCAACCATGCCATTATCAGCGTGCAGGTTTGCACGACTGCTTGGATTGAGGGTTCACGTGCATGCGCGGGTCGCTAGACCACCAATTTACTTCGCAGGTTGCAGGTTGTTCGGTGTAAGAGCAGCTAGTAAATTGGAAGCAGACATGAAAAGGAGTTCCCAGATCAGAGTTGGGTGGAGAATGTCGGTGGTTGTCGTATATTCCTCAACGAGAGGTAACAGGCGAAAGTGAGGAGACAAAAAAGCAGGGTGAAAGTCACTAGTTTCGATTTTGAGCTGCATACTAACTCTTTTAGATATTTGATTTCAAGAGTCCTAGAACCCAATTCAAAAGATTCTCATTCTAACCATTAGCTTGAAAACAAAGAAGGTAATCGCAGCACGCTAATGATATTGTGCCATGACAAAAATGGCCTCGAACTATTAGTTCTACGAAGGCATCTTAACCATGATGTCCTAATGATGTAAAAATGGCTGAAAACTTATTCTTAAAGGTAAAATTAAGCCTAACGATTCGCTTGGAATGTAGCGAAACTAAAAGGATTATTTCGAATGTCTGAAATTAGTCTTATTGGTTATATTCAGCATTTTGGACTTGAAAATGTCAGCATTTAAATAATATAAACACAAAACATGTCGACAAAAGTTCGAAACCTGAAAAGTTATATAAAATCTCTTTTGCATTTCAAAGCCGTCAATATTTTGTGAACACGGATTCGCTCAGTTTAGCCTAAAGTTGTGAAGTTCGACCCACAGGTGACACAGACACAACCTTTTTTCAAGTCAGTATTTATCTATCGCCTTGTTTGGAAATGTATGGCTGTAAGCATTTCTCAAGAAACATAGTTAACCAATTGTTTCACAAAAATCCGGGTTTAGGTAACAGAACTTATTAAACACGTCTTATTAAGGAACTACTCATTTGTCACGAAAGTTTCACAAAAATGAGCAAAATTATATTCACTTCATAAGTGCAAGAACGTATAAAGCTTCAGTCCGTATAAAGATGGAAATCGAAAAATCACCAAAACCCACCACTGAGAAAGTTTCATACACGTAGCTCCCTTTATAATCTTGAAGAAAGAAAGAACAAAGATTTCAGCAGAAATCTAATGGATTAATTTTATTTCGCTCGGTTCTTGCCAGCTGCTAAAAACCTTTTATATTCAAAATTCATAATTACAAAGTATGTTCAGTCTACTTACATGAAAGATTTTAGTTGAAATGACTGATGCCAGTGTTTTTGACAAAGTAATTAATGATTCAAATATCGAATGTCGGGTAAAATTCATTAACATTATTCACAACCTTCAAATCAAGGTTTGCAAGGGCTTCCAAAAACCCTTCGAAGTTTATCGATAACTTATCTAATATAAAGCTCAACAATATAGAAGCACAAGTCTTATAACTTGGACTCAAATTTCACATACCGAAAACAAGTCCTGACAGGATTGACACAGAAGTTCAATTCGTAAATTTACTTGACCAGTTAAGAGACATGCATCCGATGAATGAAGTAAAGGTGTGGATCAAATTAAGGTTAGTTGATATTGCCAACCAACGTTGCGTTTCATCGACATTCAAGTCCAATATTGCATTCAAAGTACATCTGACAGCGTTAAGAAACACCAAAAAAATAACGAGGTAGTGATCCTGAGATCAGATAAAGGTTCATCCTAATGAATACAACTGATTATATCACTAAGATGAACTCAATCTTAGACGAACAACTGAGATTCAAGATAGATAAATTCAAAAAGGGTTAGAAACATATACATTAAGAGATTCAGTGCAATGTGCTGACAGACTAAACCGTATGAATATTGCCGGTAAGTGCGTGGTTTCTTTTGATGTAACACCCTTCTTGACCAAGATACCACTTTCGAAACTATTGATAAAACTTTACAGAATTCTGATCTCCCACTTTTATCAGTCCCAGCATTCAAAAAACTATTTATGTGCCCAAAA